ATATATATATACCATACTGGCTAAGCCAATAAAAAGTCTTGAATTGCATTATCCAATGATCCAGGTTTTAATAAGGACTATTATTAAAAACTGGATCATAGGATAATGCAATTCAAGACTTTTTATTGGCTTAGCCAGTATGGTATATGAGCCAATATACCATAATCTAATATCTGTTCATTGTAACATCCGGTTTCTTCTTACAAATATATCTTGGGGTCGTTTTTTTTTTTTTAAAAAAACAATTATTCCACTTGCGCTTGTTGGGTATGAGATGATTATAGCCTCGTTGGCTATCTATCAGCTCATATCCAACGTGCGCTCGTGGAATAATTGTTAATTATCTCATGGGACTATCAGACTACTTACTTAAAAAATTAAAATTCCCCCCTCCCCCCTTCTTAACCAAATGATTAAACATCATCCACACCTTAATTCTTTCAGTCATTATGTCTTCACTCAAGCGTTTGGCTTGTTCCACAAGCTGAAACAGAAAATTATGCTTTTCTTTAGACTATAAATTATCTCAATAAGAATAGTATCTTATTACCTGCTTGAAATGGTGGGCTGAACTCAGGTAGCCAACCATTGCTTCAAATCAATTTGCCAAAGTTATTTCTTCACCACATGGTGATCAAAATATTTGCAGCTTATGGTGCTGATTAACACCCATGCAAAGTGTAACCAATCATTTCCAATTCCTGTCTATAAAGTTTGATCAATACACCTACCTGTCTCTCCCTGACCATTTCATTATGTGCTGCATCAAGGAAGTTCACAGGATGTCTCACCAAAGCTAAAGATAATAGGAACCCCAATAAGCCAAAAGTCTTTGTATACTTCATGCAGAAGAGACACATAACATTATTTAATTTATAGCTACAAAATAATATAAACACCTTTCTTCATGATCACTCTGTTTGTAAACATTTAACAGAAAATAATTATCTGAAGTTTTATATTCCAAACTGGGATACATAGTGATTGAAACATGTTGTGTTTAGTGATTGAAATCACATTGCCCACAAGTGATATGTTAAATTTAGATTTAAACAATACACAACACAGCAGGCTAAGGAAAGTGCAACACAAAGTGGAATAAACTGACCTCTTTCATCTTCATCCATCTCAAAGTAATGGAAGATAGCAAGGTTTGCATCATCATCAGGCCATGTCACTTTTTTGCCTTTCTTTGACTTCTTTGCTGGTTTCTCCTCTACATCATCGACTGCTGATGCTACTGTATCTGTTGATGCCTGTGATGCTAGAGAAATAAGAAACAAACTCACAAAATGAATTCAGCAAAGTACCTAATAAATGTGATAGCCTTTGGTCACTAGATTATTTGCTTATACAGCGCATCTGCTGACAGAGATGACTTTTCTTTGGTGGAGTTCAAAGGGGTTGCTAAAAATGTCCAAAAATGTAAATTATTAAGGAGGATTTTGACACAATCCAACCAAGTCCTTGAAAGTGATAATCATGTAACTTCTCCATGTATGATATCCATACATTATCCAGCAAACAGGTAATGAGAATACTCAAACTTAATCTAACACCTAATTCTTGTACTAAAGTTAAAAGGAAGTGTGTAGCAGCTAGAAGAAGAATTCACAATCAGATCTTGGCAGTTGAAGGGTAAGTGACACCTGCTTTTTTTCTCAGAAATAACGGCTATTTTTTTAATTAGGCCATTGTTCAGGCTGCATATCTAGATTTCTTAACACAGACAATGATTACCTGCATTGGGGGAATTTTCTTTTTCAGATGACTGTCAAAGAAAACCAATGATAAAAAGATTAGTTTACATTTAAAACCTGAGAAAACTAAAGTTAAATTGCAACAAAAGTTTCAAATCAACTGCTTACCTCTGACCCTTTACTAAAATCTCCTATATCTCCACCTGTGCAATCAAATAAATTTCAATCAGTAGTTGTAATTTTTCAGTTAAAAGAAATTTCTTGTACCTCCACATGATAGACATATTTAAACAAATTCTAAGAAAACATTCTCTCTGAAGTGATGCACTAGGGCCTTCACATTAGCAATGAATGTTTACTTAATTGTACAACACAATGTTGTAGTACTTCCTACTTTTAAAAGTATTGCTAGGAAAAAGCAGAATCAAAGAGAGAGCTGATTTGTCAAAAGGTAAAAAATACTGTAAACATAGATGTGAAGGTCAATTGGTTTCCTTACTTGGTGCAGATGTGTCATCAGGTGACCCATTAGGAGATGAACCAGACTTGTTATTGCTAATAAACAGAAAACAAGATCAGCATAAACACAATAAGCAAACTGCCATTTGACAGTACTGTAATCAAAATGTTTTAATAAAAAGAAGTTTTCAGAGACTCTGTAAGATTTTGCTAGCTACTTGTATCATTGATTCACACCACTAGCTTCCCACGAGGATGATAAAGATCAAATGTAAAACCTGATACAGAAAAGTATCTACTGTTCAGCAAAATCTACTTTAGTTTAACATGAAGTAGTGACATGAACTCTATTAAATTAGTATCATAAGCAGTGTACTGTTAACCTTGAGCATGACAGCATTGTAGGATGATGATTATTTTAGGATCACTGGTGAAGAATCCTAAGTTAATTACCTTGAACTGTCAGCTTCTTTATCTTTGTTTTCTTTTTCCTTTTCTCTTCCATCCTCTTGGCCATGTGTTTGTGACTGACTGTCCAAAATGGCATCAAGAATTCCTGTATATGTCGGCTGAATAATAAACATGACTTGAGCCCAAGAGAAATTTTGTAAAAAAAAATTGAAACAGAAGGTTTTTTAAAAGTAGCCTAAGTCTATATTAATATTTTTTTCTTTATACAAAAATTAGAATGGAATTCACTGACTAGTTTTAAATCTACTTCTACTTGCCAAAACTGTTTACCTTGGTAGTTGTGGTCAGAGATACTGAAGTTGAAGTGTTGGTTGTTCCAGTCTGTAATGATATAAAAAAAAGGATCTCTTTTAAAGCTCAACCAAAAAGTACTCATTTACAAAAAGGCAAGTAAGGCCAGAGATCTGGTTATGAAACAGCTGACCCTGGCATGTGAGTAAAGCCTATAAGTTTCCCAGCCACTGTAGAGACTACTTGCAAACTGCACAATTTACAGTTTTGAGTTCTCAAAAGTTGTAGTAACAGTGGAAACAGTTTCAATGCTTCTAGCACTAGGTAGGGCAACAGAACTCACACACCCTAACATACACACTAATTAAAGAGGTCTTTTATCTTCATTTAGACCAATAAGAGACAGTTTCAGTGTGGCTTGACACAATAAATGGGAAATGCCAAAACAAAACATACATCCATATTGATGATGTACACGTATGTACCTTTGAAGCTGTTGACACGCGTTTTCTTTTTCGTGCAGGGGCAGCAGATGCTGCAATTGTTAAGGCATTCATGAATCCTGCACTCTCCATGGCAACAGCTGGTGAAAAAAAAAAATAAAGAGCAAATCATCGCAAGTACTAAAGGGATACGTTTCTAGTTTATAATACTGATCTCTCCCTTTGCATAAAGAGTAAAGGACTGACAGTCATTTTATGAAGTGGGAGATCCTGCATTCTTGTCCAAACAGACATAATCACTTTTCATCCCCTCCACCCAAATAATGAATACATTGGTCAGAGCTACTACTAAAGATTATTGTGATTTCCTCAGGAAAGCATGTCCCTTGATTAATATCAAATAAATATATGACCTTTGATACTTTACAAGACACCACTGCTTGCCAAATATTGTGACTATTGATTTTCAGCTCTATAACCAGGGAAAAGTCTAGAAAAACTTGATCTCTGACCCATCATGCATTTCTGACATCCTCTGTACATCCTTTAACCCCTTACACCCTAACATCAGTATGCATATTCTCCAAACTGTTCTCCATACATTTGCTGAGGTGCCAACAAGGAGAATTTGTTCAACAATCAGGAACTTCTTTGGTTGGTGATCATTTCCTTCATTCTTGTGACTTAAATGTTTGATTCAGTGGTGATATTGTAAGGAGTAAGTAAGTACTGGTCAATATCAGGGGTCAAAAGGTTAGGAAAATCAGTACTAATTTTATATTTCATCTAGATCATAGATAGTGAGCCCTAAACTCTTACATGTCCTTTGAAAACTGAAATGAAATCAGACAGGTTCTTACGTTTAGGCTGAGGTGGGATAACTTTTGTTTTAGAAACATTCTTTTGTGCCATGCTCTGCTTCACATCACTTTTAACTTCACTCAGGGTTTTACTCTTCTTCTCAACTTGAGGTGACCTGTTTGAATCTGTTGAGTTGTTGTCTCTACAATATAATCATTAAAGATTTGAAAATTTAATTTGTCTTACTTAGCATGAAGCATTCTTAAGGCTGACCTAAGAAAACAGTTATACCATAATATTATGACTGTACAAAGCAACAAATGAAAAAACTGATGTACAGAAGTCAATTCTGAAATAACATCTCACCTCATTCTCTTTGCAGGCTTCCCTTCAGTTGAAGAAACAGCTGTGAAAAACAATCAATCAAAACATATTAACTAACGGTGATACTCAACTTCACTTTTGACAACCTTTTCTTTAAAATAATTTCCTTTGACTTAAGGATATTTCAGTGCTTTAAAATGTCTTTAGTTAAGATAGGATACAATATTGCTGCCATCTAATCAGTGACTACAAAACAGCTATTGATAAGAAAGCTCTCTCAACCATTTTCCCAAAGATGACCAAAAAGATTGTGTTTGAATTTAAACTTGTGTCGGCACACTTACCCTGCTTAGAGCCTTGCAAAGGATCATCGCCACTGGCAGAACCGTTCAGCTTGGGCTTATCACCTTTTTCTGAAAGAGGCAAATAAATTCAGGATTTAAACATAAATGTACAGTCAGAGGGTGATAGGTGACTTAGCCTCGACAACCTAACATTAATGTGCATATTCTCCGCACTGTTCCTTATACATTTCCTTTAGCACTGACAAGGAGAATTTAATTAATAATCATGAGCCTCTTTCCCTCACTCTTGTGACCCTAATGGGAGATTCTGCAGTGATATTGCAAGGAGAAATGAGATGCTAAGCACTATTAGGGGTCATATGTTACATTTAGAAGTACATCTACATTACTTCAAGGACACTAAAGAGAATAGAAAACGTTAAGGGACCTAACATTATTTACAAGGAGAAGGGGAGGGGGCTGGTGGAAATGAGAAATAAACTTCCCAAAAACTTTAAGTCCCCCCTTTATTGGGGACACACTTTTTATTGGCCCCCCCCCCGATAATTCTTTAAATGAATTTTTTTGGCACTCAAAAATGCTCTAAGATACTATACCAAGACATTTTATGTAAACCAAATTGAAATGTTATGAAGAATACCATCCTACTTTTTTTTAAAGTGATGCACAAGGAGATGAAAGTGACAGAGGGGAGAGCAGTGAATCTGAGAATGAAATCCTTTAAGGACTTTCAATTTTCAACCATTTGTTTAGATTGAAATCGAGTCTTGAGTCTTGTTTATCAGAGTCTCCAATTAAACATAAAAAGTCAATTTTGCTGGTATTGATATTGCAGAATTTTATTTGATCCCTCCTTTTTATGTGCACACAAATTTTTGGTTCCCCCCCCCCTCATTTCCATCAGCCCCCCTGTAAATAACGTTAGGTCTCTAAAATCTATTACAACAACAACAACAACAACAACAAAAAGGTGACATTACAGTGTAATCTTCTACATGTACCTGATGTTCCTGTCTGATTTCTAACAAGACTCATCCACTGCTTAACGATTCCTGAAGCAAGCTTCTTGACATCTGAAACAAAACAAGGAAATAAAACAATCAGCCTATCTAACTAAGAAGACTTACGAGAGAAACTAATACCAAGCCAGACCTTGTACATACTGACTTCAATAGCGCGAAGCAAATAAATGCCACCAAACCCATGCTACTTGTTTCTGTTATTTAAATGAATTTCAATATGTTTACCTTGATTTTCTAACTTTGTGAGATGCTTGATAATCTTACCAGTATTGCCCTACAAAACATTGATGAGATACAATTGGGTTTTTCTACCAAATTTACAATGTTTATAGTTGTCCTTACTTTCAATATCATAGTGTAAGCAAAGTTTAAGGAGTTTACTTCGTAAGTATTCAATAAGGTCTGTATTCTGGATGAAAAGTGGTGAGAACAGTTTTAAGGATCATTAACAAAATGTATAAAAAGTATAATTTCAGAGAAATGGTGAAATTGAATTGAGCTAAGAACATCCGACATTGTGCTGCAAACAGCAATTACGCCAACTACTTCATTAAAAAAAAAAACCACCATTAAAATAGCTTTCACAGGTCAGAAACATTTTATTGCTTAATCTAGAGCAATATGCACATGCTATATAGAAAGTCAATCAACTGTTCAATGGACAGACATAAAAGCTTACTGCACTTTAAACAAAACCAATCAGACTTTACTCAACAACTATCAACATACTTGTTTTAAAGTGTCTATATTCACAGGGAGATCTCTCAAGACCTGAAGAAAAGATGCAAGATTCAGACTGAGTGATATTGTTACAATACAGCACACACAATCACAGAATATTTCACAGAGTCAGACTCAAACACATCACAAATGAATGTCAATGTATTTTTAATTAAAGTTGCATTCACTAAATATGCCAAGATCTCTTACCTCCAGTAGTTCTACTAGAACAGGAAAATTCTCAGTTTTCTTTGCCTCAACTAACCACCTATTCAATATATTCCAGCCTCCTACAATCATAAACCTGTTGAAACCAAGAAGAAAATTTGCATTTATTCTTAACAAATGCACATTTAATAACTGATCAATAATAATTGGCTATTCAAACATTATCAATCAAGAGCATACTTTTTAAGGAAAGAGAAGCAAGTACCAGAAAATCCAACACAACCTTACATCAACAGCTTTTCATGTGACATAAAACTGTTAAGGATAATTCAATAAAAGAGATTGCAGGAAATCCAAAGGTCATTTTGAGATAATTATATAGGACATGGAAAGACAGAATTCATCAAGGCTGTGGTCAAGCAGTGCATGGTGGCCCCTGGCGTCTTACTTTTGCTCTAAGGTGACTCAGGAAGTTTAGTTTTTTTCATACAAAGCATATGCTGGGCACCCTGGATTTAGCAGTTTCAGAGCACTGGACTCCATTCAATTTTCCTTAGAGCACAGCCTTGATTCATAGATGAATAATGAAGAGGAAAGAGGAAATCCATACCAACAGTTATCACCACCACTTTGTTATTACAATAGGCTCAATACTAGAGTAAAAAGTAGAAAAGTAGTCGTACTTTTCTAGTGATTCACTTGCAGTTTCATTTTCCTTTGCAGATGAAATGGTAGCCTTCAAGATGTTCAAGTAGATACAGCGACTCATCAACTTCTCTGCATTTCGCATTAAACTAGAAACAAGACAAGATGATGGGAGAACAATAGGCATGAAAAAAAGTTTCATACCAACAAGGGCCACACAATTGTACAAAAAGCAAATCAGCCTTCTTCAGGTTTCGTATACTTTTGATCTGCTAAAATTCCATGACTTTCCATGACTTTTTCCATGACCTTTTGAAAGATTCCATGACCTGTTTGCAAACATTCTCACAATGCGTGCTTCTGTTTATTTCTAATGAAATTAAATCTGATTTTTGACTCGTCAGTTAACTTTTCAACTTTGGGTCTTATTGCCTTTCACTTAGAGAGAGCATATTGATTTTCCATGACTTTCCATGACCCACACCTAAATTTCATGACCCACACCTAAATTTCATGACTTTCCAGACCTGGAAAATGAAATTTTGAAATTCCATGACTTTCCAGGTTTTCCATGACCTGTACGAATCCTGTTCTTGAAAACATCAATATTGTACCTTATTATTTGTACCACTTCTTGAGGGGTCTTGATGTCTCCTAAAGAACCTAGCATTGGTTTGAGAGCATTCAGTAGAGTGTGAGGCTCACCACCTGATGTGCTCTGCAAATAACAAACAACAATTCTAGTGACAAAGTGATCCTTAAAAGTGAGTGGCAACTAAAGCAGTAGCAGAAAAGAAGCCTGATAAAATTCAGGCTTCTATGGATTCAAACCTGTGCCTACCAGATACTAGTTGAGCTCATACTGCCAACTGAGCTACAGAGTAGCACATTGGGAGTGAATTATAAACTTTAGTTTGCTCTTTATTCCCACAAAGAATCCTCCATTTACAAAAGGAATCTCTTTGCTCTTTCGTGAAAAGAAAAGAGAAGGGCTGATTTGAAGAGGTTCATGTCTTGGTTAAATTGCTTTATTCAATGTCTTTCCTTTTACTGTGTTCTTACCATGTTTCTTTTTCAGCTTCTTTCTCTAATTAGGCCCAACTTTTATGACAGTCACTCAGCTGGAGAAACACAAAATCAAACCAAATATCAGTTACGGTCAATACCTTGTCGCTGGAGTTAAAATATTATTCACTGGTATTCTTTCATTCAATTTGAGAACTCAAGATTTAGAATTCATCCACTATCCTTTTCCTACCATCATTTATGTTTAAGTGCTTCTTGATATCAACTGCCAACATACATTTCTACAAGTCTGTATTGCACATCTGACTCATTCTGGATTTGTATGGCAGTTTTCATATACATTTTCAAATAACAAGGTTACACCATACTCTGCAATTAATTTGAACTTATGCATAGTTTTGTTCTAGTCCTTTACTATAAAAACAAACTGAAATTGGTCTTGGCTGGTCACTTCACATGAGATCATCATAAAATGTTTACAGGCACAGTGTCAAGAAGCTTGTCTTATTTTCCCCATAACTTTGGGTGTTGTACATGTTGGTTAGAGAATACTGTTTCCTTTGCAAGATGTTTTTCATTGTGTACAAAAATGCAAAACAAAGTTTCTCCTGGTGAAGTGAAAAGACAAAGAAAGCTTGTTCTTGTAAAAATGCTTCATAGATGGAAATTAAAAAATCTAAGTTACTTTTTCAATCTTGTTTTCCCCTTTTGAAGAAGCAGATTGTAATTTTTCCCCTAAAATATTGCTTACATTCTGGCAGGTTATACAACTTCAAGAGTTAACTTTCTATCAATCATAAATTTTGAGTCTTAGAATCAATTCAACATCAGCACCAGCAAACTAAGGTGTGTGCAACAAGAAGACATTCTGAAAAGTCCTTCCTGTACACTAATAACAACTGGTAGGATGAACTTGGCAAAAACTTTTTCATTAAAAGCTTAACATATTGATTATGATTTGGTGCCACAAGAGTAAAGAGACAAGTCTAACACTCATAACTAGTCCAATCATTTGAAACTGTCAGTGGCTCTCACACTGTTTACAAGCACTAACAAAAGAGGAAAAAAATCCGAATGTCACTTCCTTGATGCATAATAAAGATATCTATGACAGGAAGTGCATGGAGCAGGAGTTGTTCTTTTTGTCAGACTACTGATCACTAATAAACATCAGATCTAAAAAGAGATGGTGGATGTGTAATTCAAGGGTTATTTAGCATCCTTTTTTTTAAGATCACTGATCTTCAAAAATTTTAAGTGACAAATTCTCAAAAATCTCAACTGTTCTTTTTCACTGTTAACACTGAGTTAATTGCAAACCTTGAAACCTATATGTCCAGTTTATATAAGCTCAAAATTCTCGAATTCCCCGAGACCAGTCATCGTTCATGAATATTAATAAACACATGTTTAGTGATCTTTATCCCTTCGCATCCTTTCGAATTTTCCTCACTGAACGTAAAAAGGGGTAAAAGAAAAGTAGAGAATTTTTCATATTTGGAAAGTTGAGGCGAAAAAGACCGGTGTTGAAAATTCAACATTCCATTAACGCCACTTTGTAATTACACTTGGCAATATCATAAATTCTACGATCGAGGACGCACTACTAAAAAGTCTGGTAAAAACCAAACCGAATCCACTGCTTCTTGGATAACCATGGAATTGACTGAAAGTTCGCAAATGATGTCCAAACCACATGTGAGAATAAATAAATTAGGTTTTGAAATTAAGTTATTCAATGTCGCTAGTTTTCTCATCCACTTTGGTTTCGTATGGAGCGTATGCATCTTTATCTCTCCTTGGAACCTTCCTAGCAATCCTCCTATATTTTCCATTTCGACACAGTCTTTATCTCAGACTGCTTATTTTCTCCGTCGAAGCCCTTTTAGGTTGAGTAGGAAGGAAAGAAGAAAGGACACAATTTTGTGTTAAACCACCGCGCTACACCGCTTTATTTGCAGCAACGTAAATGGTGGCTTCATAACGCTTAGTGAAATCGAAACAGAAACGCTGATATTCAACCAACTTACTCTTGGGCACTGTGCGTCACTTCGATAACCCTTTCCTCAAAGAACTTTCTTTCTTCAATACATACACGTTCTAGGCGTGTACATAATTTTTAAAAAGATTTTGGGGCGACCTAAGTTCACGCATTGCACACGACAACTAGTTTGAGCAGCCATTTCACATGGCCGTTCAATTGCAAACTGTCCGTTGATTCTTTCCTCTTCAAAATCGTATTTCTTCACCTAAAAATCAAACAAAAGGAACAAAATTAGTTCAAGATTGTTACCACATCGAAATTCCCACTTCACATCGTACTTGTGAGGAAGAAAACATCGCAAATTTTCAGGCAGGAATTTTCCGAACAACATGGCTTACCGATTTTCACTTGAACTCACACCCCACTCCAAAGGGATGATGGATACAAAAAGAGTCAAAGATTCAAACTGCACTCCAATTGGCCAACTTCCCATCAATCAAAAATATCGCTCAGCGAGTAGACTGGGTCAGATCGTAAAATTCAATATGGCGGCTTCTCCGAGAGTATTATCGAGGAATCTTTCCATCAATTCGTTGTGTGATTCTGGGCATAAAACTCCACACAGACTTGCTAGTTTTTGTTTTAAAGATAGATCGTTGTACGACTATCACCCAAAGGATCAATCATGGCTGGTCCGACGTTCTTGGGCTAAAGGTAACATGTTCTGTGCAATCTCCACCTTACTAAGCTCAGTAGCTTTCAAACAAGTTTGAATTTTCTTGGTTGACCTCAAGATCTTCTGTTTAAGGGCTAAGCCCAAAATATTTCAAAATTTCTCATAATTTTTTGGCACATTTTTGACTGAAATAGTTTTTTCAGGATCATGCTTGTTGGGGGCTTTATATGCATTATAATAACTTTTTGAGTTATATTTTAATATTAATGCCTTCACATGCAGATGATAGTTGGCAATAATTCTCGCTAAGTTATCCCTAGTTTTACTTGCAATTCATGACAGAATTTGTCATCAAACTACGGAGCCCGCAAAGGGCCATTATCAAACATAATTTGACGAGTTATTTGACGAGTTATCTGACAAGTTACGTGACGAGTTATTTGACGAGTTATGTGATGAGTTACGTGACAAGTTATTTCAGGAGTTATTTGACGAATTGTTGTAAAGCAAGAGCCTGGGTTATATTTGTGTAGATGGGGCAAATATGGTGGCCTGTTTGGCCTTGAAATGAACTTTTGTGATGAATTAATTGTGCAATACTTTAAAATTGGATACAAATACTTTCATGTCTTCTATTACTGCCTGATGAGGAACCCAGTTTGCGACAGTTGAAAAGAATACTAGCCCATAGAGGCCTTAAAAGACGGCAAAACATTTCCGACCTGAGAACTGTTAGGTCACTATTGAACAAGAGCAACGAGGAAGTGGAAGTGTTATTGGATTTAGATCTGTTTGGCAAAGATTGGTCACAGATCGTGGCCTTGTGGTTTCTAAAGAGACGGTAGGGCACACTCTCAGGATCATAGATCCTGATGGTGTTCATAGGTGGTTGAGGCATCAACTTCAAAGGGGTCAGTATAAGGGAAGAGGGCCAAATGTTCTTTGGCACATTGACGGGTATGATAAACTAAAGCCTTTTGGTTTTTCCATCCACGGATGTAGAGATGGCCATAGTAGGCAAATAATGTGGCTCGAGGTTGGGATGTCTAACAATTACCTGACAGTTGTTGCACATTAGCAATGGAGGAGGGAGCACTGTGAGAGTCTCCCCTTGGCGAGAAAAGAAAGACAACAAAATGCCAGCGTAGTTCCAACCTCCACTGATTTCAGATGTCCAATCTGTCAGAGAATTTGCTCTTCCCGAATCGGACTCTATAGTCACCAGCAAACTCAAGTAAACTAATTTAATTTATTTGAATTTAATCTAATCACTGCCAAGTGGACATCTTACTCGTTACGAGGGATTGCCAACACACAGTCAAATGTATTAGTGAGATGGCGGGCACTGCCCATATTTTATGAGCGGACTGTGGTACAGAAAACAGCCATGTTGCTGCAATTCAACGTTTCCTTCGAAACAATTCAGATGACTCATTTCGCACAGCGAAGAGTTTTATTTATGGTCAGTCTGTATCCAATCAAAGGATAGAAGCTTGGTGGTCCCAGCTGCGAAGGGTTGTGCTGATTGGTGGATACAGCATTTCAGAGAGCTCCAAGAAAGTGACTGTTATTGTGATTCTAATGTGGTACATGTGGGATGTTTGAGGTTTTGCTACATGGACATATTAAGGGATGAACCACCTCCCAGTTAGCTCAATGGATAGAGCGCTGGACTGTTGTGTGGGAGGTCAAGGGTTCAAGCCCAGGCCGGACCAACAATCAAGGTCTTAAAATAATGGAGAAGAATATGCTACCTTTCTATAACATCAAGAAATGGTTAGATATAATTCTAGTCTTTTCGGATAGGGACGAACAAATGGAAGTCCTGTCTCCTACAGGGTTAAGGGTAGGAGATGTTAATTTCCCATGCACAGGATTACTGTGTGATCGATGTCCTCCCTTGGGGTGGGATGGGTGGGATTTATTGGGTGGACTACTTGCATGGTTCGCATGTGTTCTGTTCTAGTCCTACCCTACTGCGGTAGTGCAGTAAAAATGGTTAGAAAAAGAGAAAAAAAAAGAACTGTACAGAGCTGCAAGGCTTTGGAACAGTCATAGAATAAGACCATCAATTAACCACGAGTCCCCTAGAGGACGTCTAGATCTTCTATTTTCACTTCCAGAGGTATCAGGTACGAGGTAGAATATGATTGAAGTGGACAAGGTTGACATCACTGTTAGTCAGTGTTGCATAATCAGCAATTCACGCCGCCATTTATTTGTTATCAAAATAGAATCGTTGATAATTAGTGTACATTGTAGTGTGACCATAATATATGCAAAATGCTAGCAGGTATAAAACACGTGAATTTTGGCTCTACATTTTTATTACTTGGATTAGTGTGCGCACGAATAAAGAACTTTATATTTACAGAAGCGAGTAGCTAACATGGTGTCAGGAGTTAACAAACCCAGGCAAGACAAACGTCGACAGTGATCACCGCCATCTTTTCGAAACATCAACTCTCTCAATTTACAATGGCTGAATTGCAGCATTTACCAGCGCCGAAAGGAAACTTTATGCCGGGCCCCGAATGTTACCAAAAGTGCTTGGATTGGGTTGAGGAATGTGAACTTCTTTTGAATGGTCCGCTAGCTTCGAAGAGCAAAGCTGTGAAAGCAAATTATGTTCTCATTTGGGCAGGAAAAGCTGGAAGAACACACAGTAAGTCACTCAATCTCACCATGGAAGAGAAGGGAGATCCAAGCGTGCTGTTTAAAAAGTTTGTGGAGTGGACAAAGCCGAAATCCAAAGCACTCGCAGCCGCATCAAACTTCCGCCGCCTGGAGCAAGGTGATCTTAGCCTTGCAGACTACATTGACAAAGCCACTATTCTGTGCGACCAGTGTGAATATCCTCCAGAAGCCCGTGACTGACTACTTCAGGATGCAATAGTTATTGGACTATGCTCTAAAGAGGCATAATACAAATGCATTGAAAAAGGTTCCGAATTGACACTAGAAGAGGCAATAGAAATCGCTCAGAATCAGGACGCCACAACACACCAAGTTGGTTACATGCAACCGGAATTCAAAGGTGAACCACTACAAATGGAAGTTTATAAACTCCAAGGAAACAGGCAATCAAGAGCCAACCAGAACAGACAGCAGCAACAAAGACCAGCTTCCAGTGATCGGAAACAGGGAAGGTCAAAGAGGGAAACTTGTTTCTATTGTGGAGCGAAACCGTCACATCCCAAAAGTGAGTGTCCCGCAAAGAAGGCAAAGTGCTTCAAGTGTGGGAAGGAAGGGCATCACGGTTACGTGTGCAAATCAAAGAGTAAAGACGCACGTGTCAATGAGTTACAAGTCCAGTCTACAACAGCTTCTGAGTGCACGGACTGCGTTCTGAATGAATATGAGCCAGTTTACTTCAACGCGCCTATTCGTCACCTCAAGACAATAACAGTAGAAAGACTCAATCATCCAAAATCAGAACCTCACAACCGCCCGCTATGGCTCAGCCAGGAATTTTCATCGCAAATCTTCCAGATTGACTGCGAGGTTGATACTGGAGCAAGTTGTAACATACTGCTGTTGTACAAGGCTAAAGCACTCTTCGGAAACGACTTAAAGTTGGGCAAACCAACCGTGAATCTCAAGGGCTACAATGACAGTCCAGTGGAAAACCTTGGTTCCTGCATTGTGTACCTTTACCCTGGTAACAAGATATTCAGAATTTTGTGCGAAGTCGTAGACAGCAAAGGTCATATGATCCTAGGCAGAAA